AGACCATAACTATTTTTTGATCCATTAGTTAGAAAGCTTTTTGGAAAAGCTTGAGGACTTGATGAGATGTTACAAAAAGACAAATTATTTCTTTTGGCAAGATCATACCACTACAAATTAAAGCTAGTTTATTGTGTTTTGTTATTATTTTCTGTAATTATTTCTTAGGATGACTAATCTTTTTCATAAAAATGAACATTTGTTAACCATTATAATAGTATACAGATTGTGTGGTTGCCATATTACAAAGGAATATTGAATTTATCGAAAGGATGCAGAAGAGGGCAACCAGAATGGTTAAGAGTTTGGTAAAATTGGATCATGAGTAGTAATTACTAAATTGCACACGTTCTCACTAGAAGAAATAAGGCTGAGAAATGTTGTGACTCCTGTTTTGATGATTCTAAAGAGATTAGATCACGTAGACCAGAATAACCTTTCACCTTGTATAGAACAATCAATCCACAGGACATGGCCCAAGATTAAAGTTCAAAGCAAATACGAGAAAGCATTGTTTCAGTCCAGATATGGTAAATCTTATAGTGCAGGCTCCCTGGAAAAATGGTGGAATCAGGTGGTATTGATGCATTAAAATGCAAATTAGTTAGATTTATATCAGTGAGTAATATTTTGTAATACAGTGTATGAGTAATTTGAGCCAAAATGTGCTAATTGTAGCATCCTTGGGTAGAGCAAATGACTTTAGATCTACATTTCCCAAAGCTTTTCAACAGAAAATTTTCCTCCCCTCATTTATTGCACATTAGATGATGGAGATTGGTTGCAACAAATACTCAATGCCACCATTAATATTGTATTGAGTGCAATTAGTAGAAAAGGAGCAGATGAACTGGATGGAGCTTAGTCTTTCCATGTCTACAAATTTGATGTTCTCGTATTCTATTATAGAAATGAAACAGTGGCCATTCACGTAGTCTAAAGACATTGCCTCTCTTTAGCCACAGGAATAGAAGCTGTACTTTTTACCTAGTCCATCAGCAGAAGTTATGCTCAAAACTAATTTTGTAGCACGTGAAAATGAAAAACAATCACTTGAGATCTGGCATTTATTGCTCATCCTTAATTGCCCTTGAAGAGATGATGCTGAACTGCAACTTTGGATTTTGATTAAAACTGCATGAAATACTACAGTTTTGTACACTATTTATGACATTTCACAATGACAAATTGTTTGCAAAATGAAGATGTACTCTGATCTTTTGAATACCTTATAGCTTCTCTTATTTTCCAAAATGCATACATTTCGTAATTGTTACAGAACTAATTTTCTGGAAATTTGTGGTGATGTACTAATATTTCTTGAGCATTTTGAAGCCCAGAGGCATCTAAGCTGTTATCTTTATTGATCAGATAACTGCAAACCAAAATGCATTGATTAGTGTGATTATTTGTTCTGATTGGTATTAATACATTTTGGTATTCATATATGGAAGTTATCCACAGTTAAACAGTAGTACAACAAGCAGGCCTTTACCAACCTGTAGACCAACAAATTTCCAACTCATTAAATCAGCAAATAAGAAAATAGCATAAATGGCACATTTGTGGAGTCTGAAATGAAACAATGGTTATGCATGTGGCCTGAAGACATTGCCTCGTTACCCACAGGAATAAAAGCTGTACTTTTTAGTTGACTTCAGAGTTTTCTTTGGACCTTGGGGCCAAAACACAGGTAACCTTAGTTTAGCTTTTCAATGCAAATCTAAACTTTCCAATCAGAAAAGATTTTCTTCAGGGCACCTTGCCAATTTGTATGATTTTTCTCACTTTCAAGGCTTTGGACTTGTTCAGCTAACTCTTTTTAATACTTTTCCTCCTGCCATCAATACATCAGGTTCATACCAATTCTGTGAGAAAATAGAGTATGCAGCAGTCCATCTGTTTTTGGTTTATGGTTATGAGCTATTCTTTAATTTCTATCATTAAAAAATGTTAACTAATTGAGGAAAGTTTAGGCTTTAAATTTGAAGTTGGAAAAAGAAGAAGGCACTCATCCCTTTTATGTGTGTGCCAGTCAATAAAAAGCACTTTTTGATCCATTGCTTTGTGGGTCATGGCACTTCCAGGGCGTACACATTTTTTTTCACATTTCTTTCTATTACCCCTTCAGGTTGAGTTTCAGACCCACTGCCCGAATAGAGCACAGATTTATCCACGATACCTCCATCTAGCAAATCTTTCTACTCATTACTTCAGGTATATGCCCCCTGGTATTCATAGAATCAAGAATCATAGAATCCCTACAGTGTGGAAACAGGCCCTTCGGCCCAACAAGTCCACACCGACCCTTGGAGCATCCCACCCAGATCCATTCCCCTATAACCCACACACCCCTGAACACTACAGGCAATTTAGCATGGCCAATGGACTGTGGGAGGAAACCGGAGCACCCGGAGGAAACCCACGCAGACACAGGGAGAATGTGCAAACTCCGCACAGACAGTCACCCGAGGCTGGGATTGAACCTGGTCCCTGGCGCTGTGAGGCTGCAGTGCTAACCACTGAGCCACCGTGCTGCCCCGTATTGACTGCTTACCTAAAGGAAATAGGCCCTCTTTAAATTTATACACCTTAATTAAATCTCCCCTCAGCTTCCCCTATTTCAAAGAAAACAAGCCCAGCCCATCCAATGCTTCCTCATTGTTAAAAATTCTCTGCTTCTGATAACATGCTTGTAAACCTGCTTTGTGCCCTGTTCAGTATGATCACATCCTACCTGTGACGCAATGATCAGAACTATCCTCTAGCTGTACATACTTAATACTTTCTACAGTCTTAGTATAACCTCCTTGTTCTTATTGTCTGTGGCTTGGTTAGTAAAGGAAAGTATCCTGTATGTCACCTTAACCCCTTCATTGATCTGCCTTGCTACCTTCAGAGATCTGTGAACATAGACACCAACGTTGTCTGCCTGTTCCTGAGCACTTCCAGTGTTCTACCTTTTATTGTTCATTCCTTTACCTTGTGCGCCTTCTACAAATCCATTACCTCACATTGCTGCAGTTGGAATTTACTTGTCACTTCTGTGGCCATCTAACTAGTCCATTTATAACTGTCAGGAGTCAGTGGCTTCCTGCCTTGCTTAACCACACAAGCAATTTTTATTTCATCTTGATCATGTGATTATTTACCATTTAAAAAAAAAAGGAACCTAGTTCTTAGTCTTGTAGATCTTGTTGAAAATTGTCTTCCAGCCTCAAAACCATTCTTCAACCATTACCTTTTGCTTGCTATCACTAAAATCACTTTTGGATCTCATTTTCCACTTACCCTTGGATTCTATAGCCTTTTACTGTTCTGATAGTTTGTCTAGAGCAGAGAGACCAAAGGGTTCAGGTACATAATTCTTTGATATTTGTATCACAGGTAGACAGAGTGGTTAAGAAGGCATTTAGCATGCTTGCCTTCATTGGTCAGACCTTTAAGTTAGGAGTTGGAATGTCATGTTGCGGTTGTACAGGACGTTGGTGAGGCCTCTTCTGGAGTACTGTGTAAGTTCTAGCCACCTGTTATAGAAAAGATATTATTAAACTGGAGAGGGTTCAGTAAAGATTTACCAGGATGTTGCCAACAGTGGAAGTTTTGAGGTATAAAATAGACTGGAAAGGCTGGGATCTTTTTCACTGGAGTGTAGGAGGTCGAGGGGTGACCTTACTGATGTTTACAAAATCATGAGGGGCATAGATAAGGTGACTGACAAGGATCTTTTTCCCTAGGGTGGGGGAATACAAAACTAGGGACCATATTTTTAAGGTGAGAAGAGAAGGATTTAAAAAGGACTTGAGGGGCATTTTTTTTTTTTTTACAGAGTGGTTTGTGTGTGGAATAAACTGCCAGAGAATGTGGTGGATGCAGGTACAGTTACATCATTCAAAAGACATTTGGATAAGTTCATGAATAGGAAAGGTTTGGAGGGATATGAGCCAAGTGCCGGCAAGTGGGACTAGTTCAGTTTGAGAACATGATCAGCATGGACTGAAGGGTCTGTTTGCATGCTGTATGACTCTGACTATGTACCATAAGACACAGAGACAATTATTGACATTTTTATTACTAATGTAATAGTTTTGCTAAAATCATGTGGACTACATCAAATACACTACCTCCATCAATCCTCCTTGTTACATCCTCAAAAAAGAGGAAATTATCCAGAAATGACCATCCCTTGACAAACCCATGTTGCTTAATCTTGATTAGTCCGAACCTTTAAGTGAGAGTTTATACTTGTCCCTTGGAATTTTTTTAGATAACTTATATACCACAAAAGCTAAGTTGAAAGGTTTGTAATTACTCAGTCTATCCCTTTCTTCCATTTGAAACATTGATGCACTGCTGCTGTAACAGTCTTCCAGTATCCTGTCTGCAGGTAGCATTGCAGGAAGATATTTCTGTCACTAGACACATGCAGTGCTTGCTGTTCTCAAAATCCTCAAGTGTGGGGAATAGAGCAAAAGAAAAAGCTGCCAGATATTCCTTAATTCCATTGCAACTACTTGTACCCGTTGTAGCAAGTTCCACTGGTGTTCAGGTCCTGCACAAGAGCTATTAACCATGAACACCAAGTAGTTTGAAAAAGATTCCCGTTATCCATTTAGATTGCATCTCCATATCCTCATAGGTCCTATGAAATAGAATGGTTGCACCAAGATACACTTCATTGCTTTCTTTCCTTTTTCTCTATCCCCGGGTGGAAAAAAAATCTTCATTCTCGAGGTTAGCTGAACTAATAATTAATATTTGATTGGTACACTGGCAAAGCTAAGCCATCAATGAAGCTGGCAATGTGTTAATGGGAGTTGGCCACAAATGAGTGTTCCATGACAGCATGTCGTTGGGGAAAATGGCGAAAAATGAGAAGAGTGATGCATTGAAAAATCTTGGTGTCAGTTATCAATTGAGGATTTTATTGTAGAAGGTATACTGTTTTTTGATTAAAAGCATTGTATTGTTTCAATTTTGTTGGATTGTTTATCATTCAGGCACACGTGTTGACGATGCAAAAGCACTAATTGCTGCGAGCAGCTTGAAGATCCTTGCTTGTGATGACTTGGACGATGCAGCTCGAATGGTAATACTCATTGTTAAGTTTGTTAAATTGCCAATAACTGCAGTATGAACAGGTTACCAGGGACACGTGGTTCTTCCCACCAACCCCATCACCACACTAAGCCCTCCAGCAGAGTCATTCAACATCTTGTGGGGAAACTAGGATTTCACCAAGAAAATATAGGAATCAATTTTAGCATTGTAAACCAATGCAATTCTCCTGAACTGCAAATTAAACAACAAACTGATACAACCAGCAAAATACATGAACATAATCTAAAAAAAATTAAAATGACTTGTTAGGTTCAATTTGCTTTTCAAGAAATCTGTCATCACTACAGTTTATGGAATATGTGTCTATGGAATCACTACATTTTTATTTGTCCTTCCCCCAAACAGGTTGTAAAACTTTCAGAAATTGTTTCACTCGCCAAAGAAGCTCAAGTCAATGTGAATTTCCAGCTCCCAATCTGATCATGATGCTTCAACCTCACATCTAAAGGCTTTACTGGAAAGAGTTATGGAATAGCTATTTATTTTTCATGTGCTTCTGTTTCTTGAAAATGATGGTTGAATAAAACAAATGTATGTGTTTAGCTGCTTGCAGTTATTTATTAGCTTATTCTTTGAAACACAAAAACACATTAAAAGACACAAGACTGCTCATTACAGTCTTACCAACGCAATATTAAATTGCCAACATTTCTCCTCAGTTCAATAGTTAGAAAACAATTCAAAGGAGCGGCACTATACATTTATACTGATTACTTAAGAACAGATACATTTTTATCTTGTTCATGCAGCTATGATCCGTATGTTGAGTGATATAACTGGGTTTTGAACAGCTTTCACCATTGATTTCTATTGTACAAATAGAGGCTAGCAATTAATGTGGGCTAAAATTGAAAAATTGCATTAACATAATGAAGAACTGAATATCTTAGGAATGCTTTAAATGTTTCGTTTGCAAAATCTCTCAACATTAATGTCTAGGTTTTAGTTCTTTTCACACAATTACAGTGCTGGGCTTCCCCAGTCCCCTCCCTGTGCTTTAGTTTTACTTGGGTAAACCCAAATTTGTGGTGCTGTAATGCTTAATTTATTGGATTTTTTTTAAAACTTTGATTCTGCTTTTGTGAAGGATACAGGGAATGAGGCACGTGTGTATTTTTTTACTGTGAGGTTACACTACACCAAACAATGTAGGTGTCACTTAAACTTAAAGATTCTATTACCTGAGTTTTTCATAAATTCCCTATTGTTATCAGTGAATAATGTTATCAATCTCAAACAGTAGTAGTTATATTTTGACTTGGGCTAATAAAAACAGCATTTATTCTTTGCACATAATCCTCATTGTTTTTGCCTGTATGCGAATTTAAAAAGCAGCATTAACTTCCCCATCTGGTCATTCTGATTTCCACCCATCTGAAATATGGTTATAACTAGGGAGTAGAAACAATGCTGTCTCTCGCTCTCCCTTAAAAAGTTTAGATCCTTGGACAGTTCTAGCTTCCAAGACCAGCTACACCACCTTCACTATCTCATAAACCAAAATTCAAACTCTTAAAATGAAACAAATTTGCATGTAAATCATGAGTTATCATTAATTTTTCAAATGTCACTATAGACTGACAATGGGTTTATAAACCCCTATTGAAATTTTTCATTTTTAACAAAAGTTACATTATGTATCAGGATACTTTACAACAAGAGTTTGGTTTTGAAAAAAAAATCACCAGTTGTAAAATGAACTGAATGGGAGGCTGTGTCACCTGTGGTTTTTCACCCTCTGTGTCTGATTCAAAGAAAATACCTTAAAACTAAAATTAATTAACTGTCAGATTGACAGCAGAGAAAGAAATTGTGATTTGAGACTTCAATCTACCGATTTGTAAGTGAAATTTACTATAACTTAGAAACCACATCCCTCTTGACAAATTTGTGATGGGAATTGATCAAACTTTGTTGTGTATGAAAGGGTGCAGAACCATGGCAGATAAATGGGAATAGAGGTACAAATCAGTCATGATCTAGTTGAATGCTGGACTTGCGAAAGGCTGATTGACTTAGAAGGAACGCTAGCAGATCTAATCTAATTTGTTGAAACAAATGCTGTGCCACAAAACTAGCTCAAAGAATATTTCAAAGAAAATTTGGAACATTTAATGACTAGAGCTTGCTTATCCTAAAGCTGAAAGGGGCAAGAAGGCAAAATAATAGGACTTCTCCCTTGTGTCATCAGTTGTTGGAATAGTCATAATGTTTAAAAAAACTTTAGAATGGCAAAATGTGGACTTCATTACTGAGTTATAATTAGGTGGGTGCCTCTATCCCAATTGCTATTAGTTCCACTGTACAACATTGGGAATCATTGTAAAAATTGCCTTGTTTATTATGGGAGCAGCTCTGGTCATGCAGATTTCAGCAAATGGTGATATAAGTCTTGGTGGTGGGATTATCTGTCATATTTGTCTGATGGTTGTTTATTTTTTGTTCCAAATTTTTCAGTAAACTGTGTCTGACTCACTGAGAATTACACAATTGTGATGCCATTAATGCAAAAAGTGAAAATGCCAGCTTAAGATGAAATGTAGACTTGTCACCTCAGCTTCAGTTTGGTTTAAACCTCACTGCTGGTTTGTGTGCCTGTGTTTAGCGTTAATTTGTTGCCTCAGTGACACTTACTTCATGAATTTAGTCTCAAAATGCTACATAGCAAAGCAAAATTTTGAATATTGAAGATCATTTCATGATTTATAGATTGCCAATATAGCCAAATTACAAACTGATTCCAATTACTGGTTTTCAGGTGTATTTAAAATTTAAGTGTACATAATATGTATTCAAAGACTGTTCAATAAATATGTAATTGTGTCAGAAAAAGAAGTTACCAGTATAGATTTTGTTTAATAGTGTTTGATCACAGTGTTGTGAAAGGTAGCATTAAAACTAACGGTAGAAGTATGGGAAAATTTGAAGTAGCCAGCTTTGAGCAAATGTTCACATTTATGTAACTAGCTAATTTCCTGAAATCATCCTTTTTGCATCTTTCCACAATCTCAGTTCATTCCCTTGCAACATGGAAGATCAAGATCCTGCCTCACGTTTAATAGTGTGAAATGTATTTTCTTTACATTTTGAAATTACAGTGCTGGTTGAAATTGATAAAACTAGCAGGCAAAGCTGACACCAAACTGAGTAAATGCACAATCTCAAGATATTTATTGTGAAATGACACAGATGAATCATGAGTAGATTGATAAATGTCGTAATTTGAAAAGTAAAGACCATTTGATTTTGTAAATACTCTGATGTAATTTAGAAAGACAAGATAAGTGAAGCTGAGGTACTATTTGTTATCTTGTGATTTAGAAATTTACTGGAATGATGACACTGCTTGCCAAACATGGCCTATCCTTAAGGCTCTGTTTCTGTGCTGTATGACTTTATGATTCTATGAGACAGCTTAGAGTAGATGAGGAGAACAGAGAAATTAAAGCAACTAATGCTGTGATGGCAGTTCTCACTGAAGAGATTGAGTACAGGTAAAAGTCCAGAGGATGGGGTCCAGATGAAGGGGTTTTATTGGTAAAGTGCCTGTGTGGTGGAAGAGTATCACTGTCCAAAGAATTGGGCACCGAGGCGAAGAGAGCAAAAGAAAAGCTTGGTGTCGTGTCTTGCTCAAAATTCATTGAAGTAGGGGTGTAAAGGGATGAAGCTAAGTTCTTTGCTGAGAACAGGTCGTTCAGCATCACAGAGAAAAGTCAGAGGGCATGGTGAATATATGACAAGAAGTGGAATTAGATGAAGGGATGGAATTGGAGAGAAAGTGAGGGAAAGACGAATCCTGAGAAGTACCAGTACCCTTGAGTGTTTGGAGTTTGCATTCCTTAACACCTGAAAGGAAGAGAAAAAGTTTCTTGATGAAACATCAAATGAGACTAAGAATTAAATGGAACTGAGGACTGGTACAGCTTTGATATATTGTGAAGCAGTGCTGGTAGAGAGAGAGGTTGAGTGTGTGCATATAGAATAGAAACTTTTTCATAGAATCCCTACAGGGCAGCACGGTGGCTCAGTGGTTAGCACTGCAGCCTCACAGCACCAGGGACCCGGGTTCGATTCCAGCCTTGGGCGACTGTCTTTGTGGAGTTTGCACGTTCTCCCCGTGCCTGCATGGGTTTCCTCCCACAGTCCAAAGATGTGCAGGCTAGGTGGATTGGCCATGCTAAATTGCCTGTAGTGTTCAGGGGTGTGGGGGTTATAGGGTATGGGGATGGGTCTGGGTCAGATGCTCCAAGGGTTGGTGTGGACTTGTTGGACCGAAGGGCCTGTTTCCACACTGTAGGGATTCTATTCTATGAAAGTTTCTATGAAAAGTAATCCTGGCATAAAAATGCTGTGGTCATGTTTCACAAGCATGAAAATAAAATCCGTAACAGTGTGTTGAGAAGACCACATTCACAATCGTTCCTCAACTTAAAACATTTTTTCTTTTGACAAAGTATAGAAAAAAGTGTCTTGTGAAAGCTTAAGTAATACCAAAGCCTCAGTTTCTCATCACCTGTTTTGCTTGTCAAAAATGTACATTTTTGAATTCGTAATAGCAGTAGGGGAGAGCATGTCTTCATGCTTGAGAGAAGAGGAGACAGCTGCATGAATATATTTTTTTTTAAAATTGCTGTCCCTTACCCTATCTGCTCCTTTGAGTGTAATGACTTTCTCCGGTGTTTCCAAACCTGATGATTCACTTTGGAAGGACACACTTGAAAGCAGAATACAGGGTTAACGGAAAGATTCTTGGCAGTGTGGAGGAGCAGAGGGATCTCGGGGTTCATGTTCACAGTTCCCTGAAAGCTGCCACCCAGGTGGATAAGAGTTGTTAAGAAGGTGTCTGGTGTGTTCGCTTTCATTAATAGAGGGATTGAGTTCAAAAGCCATGAAGTTATGCTCCAGCTATACAAAAGCCTGGTTCGGCCACATCTGGAGTAGTGTGTCCAGTTCTGGTCGCCTCATTACAGGAAAGATGTGGAAGCGTTTGGAAAAGGTGCAGGGGAGATTTACCAGGATGTTGCCTGGAATGGAGGGAAGGTCTTACGAGGAAAGGTTGAGAGAGCTAGGGCTTTTCTCTTTAGAACGACGAAGGATGAGAGGTGACTTGATAGAGGTGTACAGAATGGTCAGAGGTATAGATAGAGTAGACAGCCAGAGACCTTTTCCTAGGGTGGAAGTAGCGATTCCGAGGAGGAATAGTTTTAAAGTGAGTGGAGGTAAATATAGGGGAGACGTCAGAGGTAGGTTCTTTACTCAGAGTGGTAGGGGCGTGGAATGCATTGCCGGAGAGGGTAGTGGAGTTGGCCTCATTAGGGGTATTTAAGTAGCTATTAGATAGCCATATGGATGATACTATAAGGTAGGGGTGGAGGTTAGATAGACCGTAAGATTGGGGTAAAAGTTTGGCACAACATCGTGGGCCAAAGGGCCTGTACTGTTCTATGTTCTACGTAACTCAAGTCACTGGCCCCACTGTCACCAAATCTCAACGTCAACATTTCAGGTCCCCTCACCTAGTTTTGCCAAAGTCGGAGACCAT